GTTATAGACAATAAAGATGCCTTTCGCAGCTGGCTGGGGAATTCTGGGAGTTGAAGTCCACGCATCTTAAAGTTGCCAAGGTTGAGAAACACTGTTATAGACAATAAAGATGCCTTTCGCAGCTGGCTGGGGAATTCTGGGAGTTGAAGTCCACGCATCTTAAAGTTGCCAAGGTTGAGAAACACTGTTATAGGCAATAAAGATGCCTTTCACAGCTGGCTGGGGAATTCTGGGAGTTGAAGTCCACGCATCTTAAAGTTGCCAAGGTTGAGAAACACTGTTATAGACAATAAAGATGCCTTTCGCAGCTGGCTGGGGAATTCTGGGAGTTGAAGTCCACGCATCTTAAAGTTGCCAAGGTTGAGAAACCCTGCCTTAAAGGATTCTGGCAGTGACACAATATTGTCAATGTGAGTCCCAATTCTTCATCCTGTTTTTCAGAGGGAGAACAACAGGCTTATTTAAGGTGGGGAGTTCATGACCTTTTTTCTGCCGTGGGTCCCTTTGAGAGTCTGGTGAAACCTATGGACCCCTTCTCAGAAAAATATATTTAATGTATAAATAAAATACATAGGTATAGACCAAGGGTGTCTTGCTGGCAGCCGGCAGGCCGCATGCAGCCCGTGGGACCTTCTTTTGCAGCCTTTAAGGGTACTGTATTATGAAAATATCATTTATTTTATTACAATTAATATTGTTAGCCAAGAAACTCTGAGTTTTATGCTGAGAAAGAAGGGAATCATCACAGCTCCAGCTGATTGTGCGATCAGTAGTAAAATTCCCTGAACTATCAATTCACCTTTACTTCATAATTGTCACCTTTTCTCATTTTTATGTTATTCAGCAAAAACTGGTTGGTTTAGTTGCAGCCTGACACTCGACTCGGGGATACAATTGTGGCCCTTCAGCCCTCTGAAGTTGGACACCCCAATATAGACTGTATTACAAAGGAGACCAATTATGTTCAAATTTATTGATCCTGTGCCATCAAGTCAGTGTCAGCTCTTAGCGACCTCATACATAGATTTTATCCATGAATGTTCAAATACAGTTGTTAAAATATTAAAAAAAAACTGGTACGCAATATAGGAATATATGTGCTTCTTTATTAATCCTTTAAATCAGTGTCAAGACAAACTAAATTTCAGCTGGAGGTTAGTGAAAATAAACTTGTAATATTTTTCCTATCCAACTTCACGGACCGCCTGGAATCTATTAAAAACCCCTGATTTAAAACAAAATAATGAATTGAGCCTAGCATTGGTTGAAACACTCATATGCAAACAGTTTGTCAGCTAAACTTTGGCGAGTTGGTAAAATGAGCAATTTTCTGCCAAACTTTGCCAGTGGGTGTTTGGAGTCGGTGCGCCAAAGGCCTTCATAATGTATATATGAATTTATTTACTTATTGGGAAGGGCTTTTATGGCGCTTCCATCAACACGAACCTAAGCAGCTTACAAAAGCCATCAAACACAAAAAACAGTGCCAAAATATAAATGAATATCCACAATTTAAATTAATAAAAATAATAAGGCACTTTTAGCGGTGGCCCCTTGCATCCTAGATACATTCATTATTGGCAACAGGGGAGTCCATGGGGGGGCTCAAAAAAGTCAAAACCCATGTGATTGAAACCCTGTGATTTACAGCATGTAAAAAGGGGGCAGGGCTTCAATTATGCAGTTGTAGCTGCCATTTTGACTTTTTTGACCCCCACTCCCTCACAGACACCCCTGATCAGTATAAATCTGGAAGAAACCTGTGTTCTACTTGGTTTCTAGCCCTACTCCAACCCTACTTAAGAAGGGTTTCCAGTCCTTTTTAAGTTTCACTAGCTTTGAGTTTTCCTGCATTTTAATACTGGGGCACAGAATGAATGTGCATAGAGGAATTAATTATTTGCAGCCCAAGGAGAATAAATCTTTCAGTGAAAGGATAAGCATTTTCCCACCACCTCTTCTTTCTTACAGGCGATCGAATAATACCAACGTTGTATCCATGCTCAACTCTTCCATACGGAGGAACAGAAACAACTTCCGTGCAACCAGACCAGGTAGGGGAAAAAATTGGAGGTGAAATCACCAGATTTTTAGATGCATATTAGAAATCACCCCACCTCCTGTGAGGTTTGATGTCCTTTTCTGGAAGCTGACCAGATTTCAGTGTTCTTGCCTGAAATGTGGTGAAATTGATTTAAAAATCTTCTGGATGGTGCCCCAGGGACACCAATTTAAATATTTGAGTTTTAAAAATTTAAATTGGGGTCCCTGGGACACCATCCAGAAGAGTCCTTTGTTCCAGCTTGCTCACAAGCAACCCCCTGTTAACCCCTGTGAGGAGAATGACTTATGAAACTTAAGGCTTTGACTAATTGAAATATATTAATGAAATTAGCTTTACAGCAATAAATGCTAATGATATAATAAAACTATCTTACAGAGCAATAAATAAAATTGCTATGTAGACTGAAGTTTTCAGTCATGTGCTTATTATCAGTTATATTGGACAGGAAGCCGGAAAACAGATGAGACAAGTAAAAATGCTGATGGAAGGAATGTGGCAAGAGAAAAGAACAGGGAAGTATTGTAAAATTAGCACCAAGAACGGTTGCAAATCCTGGGAGTCATGATTGTGGTTTTAAGAAATAAAAGGGATTGCTGTGAGGGGTTTGGGACCACTCGGCCTCAAGCTGTCCATTTGACCGCTTGTCCGTGCTGGTCGTCATTGCAATGGGAATGGGAATTTATGTAAGTATGTTTTGCTCTATGCTATTGAACTGAAATTTAATAAAACCTTTGGAATCTTGAAGTGGTCAGCGTTTTGGTGTGTATGCCGGTCGTTTTTGACGAGGATTTTCCCCTGACACCCCCCGTGGATCCTTCCTGGGGCTGGATCTGCTCCCAGATGGAGAAGGTCAGCTTGCATTAAAGTGAGGAGGAAATCATGTTCTCTTCCCTCTCAGGATCCGGTGACTTGTGAGGAGGTGGCTGTGTGTTTCACAGAAGAGGAGTGGGCGCTGCTGGATTCGGAGCAAAAGGCCCTGCACGGAGCAGTCATGGCAGAGAACTGGAAGACGGTGGCCTCTCTGGGTAAATCCATCTCTTTGGGAAGCAGTCCTGGTTTCTCGATTGCTTTACAACACCCGGAATTTTTCTCTTCCTTCCTGGGTGACTTCAGATGTCCTTTTGCAAACTTTAATACACCAGGGTGTGTGTGTGTGTGTGTGTGTGTGTGAAGGCTGGATAGCTGAATTGAAACATTCTAAGCCACCATTTGCTTTGTTGGAGTTTTTTTTGGTGGGGGGGGTTGACTCCTGGCAACTGCCTGGCCTAGTCCCTGCAGTTTTCTTGGCAAGGTTTTTCGGAAGTGATTTGCCCTTGCCTCCTTCCTGGGGCTGAGAGAGAGGGACTGGCCCAAGGTCACCCAGCTGGCTTTGTGCCTCAGGCGAGACTAGAACTCAGGATCTCCCAGTTTCTAGCCTGGCACCTTCATCACTACACCAAACTGGCTCTCCTTGAGTATATTTGTTGGAAACTTACTGTGGATAATTTCTAGCTTAGTTTCCACCCAGTATGCTCCCAGTACCTCCTTCCTGGGGCTGAGAGAGAGGGACTGGCCCAAGGTCACCCAGCTGGCTTTGTGCCTCAGGCGAGACTAGAACTCAGGATCTCCCAGTTTCTAGCCTGGCACCTTCATCACTACACCAAACTGGCTCTCCTTGAGTATATTTGTTGGAAACTTACTGTGGATAAT